CTTTTGATGATCATCATTGACCTTTGAAAGTAAATTTTGCAAATCCAAAATTTTCTTTTCAAACTCTTCTAGTTTGATTTGAAAATCTTTGATTTTACTTTCAAGATCGTTGTTGGTTTTGGATATGAGTTTGTTTTCATTTTTTAATTTTGAAACATCATTTTTATATTTTAAAAACAATTTCTCATAATATGAAGCCAACCCATTATATTCCTCTAATTGCTCATCATAGGATAAATCATCAAAATCAGATGAGTTAGAGGTTACCTTAGAATCTCCCCCGAATGCCATCAATCACAAGTTTGCTACTTCTTGTTCCTCTTCATCAAAACCTTCTTCATCTCTCCATGTAGCCACATGAGCCTTGTGCTTATTCTTTGGTTGACCATTTCTCTTCAATTGTGGGCAATCATATTTGACATGCCCCGGCTTTTTGTAATCATAGCAAATGATTGTGTCCTTCTCTTTTTGTTCATTTTTTAGGCCTTTATTTCGTTTGAATTTTCTTCCTCGGTAAGGTCTTATCATTTTTCTGAACCGTTTGGCAAACAATGCCATTTCCTCATCATCGTCATATTCAATCGAATCACTCTCATCTTTTGTGGATTTGAGAGCAACTCCAATGTTTTTATTCTTCTCCTTTGGTGTCTCGTCAATCTTATCGAGGTCCACCTCATCTTCAAGCATCATTTCACGAGTGAGGAGGGAACCAATTAGTTCTTCAAGAGTTAAGGACGTTAGGTCCTTAGACTCGATGATTGTCGTCTTCTTTGATTGCCATGATTTTGGAAGGGAGTAAACTAACTTCCTCACAAGCTTTTCATTTGAAATGATCTCTCCATATGATTTGAGACCATTGACAATCGTTGAGAATCTATCCGTCATAGCTTTGATATCTTCATTTGGTTTCATCTTGAAATTTTCATAGCTATGCGTTAGAATACTAATTTTAGATTTTTTACCTCATCGGTACCTTCATGAGTGACTTGAAGCTTGTCCCATATTTCTTTGGCGTTGTACAAGATGAAACTCTTCCATATTCATCTGGTCCAAGAGCACAAAATATGATATGAATGGCTTTAAAGTTGAGTTGGAACAATCTTGTCTCTCCTTCACTCCACATTCTTGGATGAGTAAGAGGCTTGATATATCCGTTTTCTACAACATTCCATGCTCCCATGTCACTTTCTTGAATGAAGTACGTCATCCTATTTTTCCAATAGGCATAGTTATCCCCATTGAAGAAAGGAGGCTTATTGATGGGCATCGAATCGAGACCTGAGTCGAAGTTTGAAGTGGAGGCCTTTGATGACTTTGATTATCGATGTAACTCTTCCCGAATCGACTCAAGAGGCGATTAAACTTTCAAATGAGTTAGGCTCATATGCCAATTCTTGAGTTAATCGATTAACGGAATCAGCCAAGAGGGGGTGAATTGGCAATTAAAAATTTGGTGGAAGCTTTTGCAGAAAATTGAAAGTAATTGCACAGCGATTTAGAGTGGTTCGACTTTCTCAACCAAAGTCTACGTCCACTACCTTAGCTATCCACACTAAGGATTTTTCACAAATTCACTAATTTGTCTTTCTTTTGAGGGAAAAGAGTAACCTTACAAACCCTCAAGAATTATACCCCAAATTCTTGAGAACACTCTCTCCCAAAGAGAACAATACAAATTTACAAACTTACAAGGAAATCCTCATAAGGTAGATTGTTTGTACAATTCTAGAACAAAGAAAAGAACACTCAAGAATGAATACAATTGAGTACAAGTAGTGTTCTTGAAAGCAAAATGAATATTGAATGAAAAATAGGCTTGAAATGCTTAAACTTGAGGTTTGATGCTTTCTCTTTGATTCTCTCTTGATTCTAGTTGCTTGATGTTTCTTGTTGTTGATCAATGGCTTCTAAGCTTGTTTAAATACACCTTGAATCACTTCTGAATGTTGGGGATCATTAATGAAGTTATTGGAGCCGTTTAAGTGTGAAAACAATTAATATTTCTGCTTGGAGCATGGGGGGAATCGGTTCTCCCTCATAGGGAATCGGTTTCCTAAGTGTAAAATTCAAATATTTCGACCGTTAAACAGGGGGAATCAGTTCCCTCCGAGCATTCTGTTTTTCTCGGAGCCAAACCATTCAGGGGGGAATCGGTTCCCTCTGAGCAATCTGGAATTTTTGGCTTTAAAATGGTTATAAATATTTTGTAAAATTGTTTTGAAATTATTTTAAGATTAAAACTTAATTTTACACTTGAGTAAGGATTAAAAATGACATTGAAAGATTTGGAGTAATATTTTGATATTCGAATAATTATATCGAATATACTTAGAAATATTTTTTTTGGAAAATCTTAAAATTCATTTAACTTAATTTGTTATATCGAAATATCAAAATGTTTTCAACAGAAATGAACAATCTGATTGTCGAACTTGAAGTCAGGGGCCAAATGATTGAAGAGTTCGATGTTGAAAAGGAAAAATGGGAGTTGGAGAGGAAGAATGTACAAATCTAGAAAACCAGTCAAAGAACACAATAAGCACAAACAAAACTTGAAGAGGATCTGGATCAGTCTAGAAATAAAAACTCAGAGTTTAATGTTTACATTTTACAACTTGAAGAATCATTATTCCAAGAGAAGGTTCGTCTAGAACTTAGTGATCTTAAAGAGAGTTATGAGGAGAACGCTTCACTACGAAGAGGAATCCGAGATCTTGAAAAAACTCTGCACAATTGTCACGTCAGACTCTCAAGGGAACTAATGAACAATGGAAAAAATCTACTGACTTCTTTGAAGAAAGAAATGAAAAAAGAAATGAAGAAAGAGGCAGTATAGTATTCGAGGCCATGGTACAAATGAGCGAAGTTGCCATATATATTGGGGAGTTAGCTGCTGAAGCAAAGATTATTGAGCATCACGTTGATCCATTTTCTAAGTATGGAAAGAAGATGACTTGGCTGATGAAAGAAATCATAGAGCTTAATAGGAAAACTATGTTGTATCTGTAGTTATGAACTATTACAAAGAAACTTTTGTATGCCGATGGAAGTTGTTCTATGACAGTTAACTTTTTGGGATCAATACCTTTTGCATACATTCATTTTGCATACATTCATTATTCATTGCATTATTTTCTTTATAGTTTTTATTTTACATTAAGATAAACATTTATTAAATAAAATTCAAATACAATAATAATATCTAAAGGATTTTCAATCGCAGTTATTCTGGCCAAACGAGAAATTCAACATCATTACGGTACTAGACAAGCTACTAAGAAAATGGAGGATAAAATACAACGTCTCGAGGAACAACATAATAAAGAACAAGCAGAAATGAGAATGAAGTTAGAGAAAATTGAAGCTAGCATTGCAAATTCACAAGACAGTATGATGCAGAAAATAGAGGATATGCTCAGGAAGCAATCTACCATTGGAAAATTTCATGAAAATCCTATACCTTTCGACCAGGAACCTATGTATCCTTTAGGTTTCATGCCGGAACCAGTTTATCATTCTGGCATCACACCTGTGCAAATCCATGCTCACACATTTGCACTTCAAGAGACCAAACCTAATGAAAGTCAACAAGTGGATCCTGCTTCTTCAAGTAAAAATCTGCTTATATCAGATGTGAAGATAGGGGAATTTAATGTTAAACATCTGATTCTAGATTTGAATGAGCTGAATGAGAAAGAAAAAGCCAATGAAGAATTGACCAGACAGATCAAGAGCTTAGAAGAAAGAATAAAATCCGTAGAGGTAACTGAATTGTTCTATGGGTTTGACGCCAGCGAGTTGAGTTTGGTCCCGGACCTAATCCTCCCCATCAAGTTCAAAATTCCCGAATTTGAGAGATAGGATAGTACTACATACCCTTCATCCCATATTACCATGTTTTGCCATAGAATGACAGGTCATGTGAAAGACGAGAAATTATTAATTCATTGCTTTCAAGATAGCTTGACAGGACCAGCCTTAAAATGGTATACTCAATTAACCAAAGTCAGCATTAGATCCTGGAAGGATCTGGAAAAAGCATTCCTAGAGCAGTACCGCCACGTGACATATATTGTCCCTGATAGATGGACCCTCCAAACTCTAGAGAAAAAGAACAGTAAAATATTAAGACAGTACGCCCAGAGATAATGTGACACAGCGGCCCAAGTTCAGCCACCTCTATCAGAAAAAGAAGCCACAGTAATGTTCGTCCATACTTTAAAGGCTCCTTATTTAAGCAATCTAATGGGGAACGTAACCAGAAATTTTGCAGATCTGGTCATTTCTGGATAACTCATTGAAGTCATGAAAAGTGGCAAAATTGAATCAAGTGAGGGGTCTAGTTCTAAAAGACCCATGTACCGAAAAAAGGAGAACGGAGTTAACAATGCAAATTCTTACAACAAGGATACTTCGAGAAGTATTACGATAACCCAACCAAGGGTTAAGAAAGAAGAAACAAACACTAATCGAACGGAATCTAGAGGATCTCGCAGGGAAAATGAAAGGTTTTCCTTCACACCATTACCAGTACCCTGTGTAGAGATCTATGATTCGCTGTTAAAGGCAGATGTCATACGACCCTATCCGTTGATTCCCATGCAACAACCATTTCCTCCATGGTACGATGTGAAAGCACACTGTGTTTATCACAATGGAATTACGGGTCACTCTATTGAAAATTGTTTGGCATTCAAAAGGGTGGTCCAAAATTTGATTAATACTGGAAAACTGGAATTTAATTTACCAGCTACATCAAATCATCCGCTGCCAAATCATTGAGAATAAAACGTGAACACAATCCAGGAAGAAAATGGAAGGAAAACCAAAACTGATGTTTCTGAAATTAAATCCCCCTTTAGTTAGATATTTCAACAACTCTCCCTATCTGGTATGATTCAGCAACAATTCATGCCAAAGTATAATGAAGGCGAGAATTATTGCGAATATCATCAAGAAAGGGGAGATGGAATTCAATTATGCCCTGAATTTAGGGATTTGGTGCAAAAACTGATGAATAACAAAGAGATAGAGTTCTTTGAAGAAGAACTAGGAAAAAAAGAAGATGACATTTGCGCATCAGAAGATTCTAAACTATTGGGTTATGGGGTCCAGCGATCACCCTTAGGGATTCTTTCGTGTATGGGTACGATATCAGTGCGTGACTACCCAACCTACCGAGGCCCATGTGTGCCTTGCGAAGCCCCTAGGCCCGCCCGCAGCACGCTATAGATACAGGGCTCTGCAATACTGTGGTGAACTGTGGGGGGTTCCCCACAAGAATCCACCTTGGCTTGGGGGAACCCAGTGATCACCTACTACAAAGATATGAAGTTAAAATGGCCCACCTACTTATCACCAATTGGTTTTAAGAAGGAATGGTGATCATTTGCTTCAGAACTCTGTGGTTAAGCGTGCTTGGACTAGGGAAATCCAAGGATGGGTGACCCACTGGGAAGTTGTTCAGAAATGAATGACTCGATCCTAACAACTGGTATTAGAGTATGTTGCAGGTTCGAATCCCCCAGGTGTCGCTGGAGGGTGATTGTTAGGTTATGGGGTCCAACAATCACCCTTAGGGATTCTATCGTGTATGGGCATGATATCGGTGAGTGACTACCCAACCTGTCGAGGCCCATGTGTGCCTTGCGAAGCCCTTAGGCCCGTCGGGGGTGCCCCACAAGAATCCACCTTGGCTTGGGGGAACCCAATGATCACTCACTACAAAGATATGAGGTTAAAATGGCCCACCTACTTATCACCAATTGATTTTAAGAATGAATGGTGAACATTCGCTTCAGAACTCTGTCGTTAAGCGTGCTTGGACTAGGGAAATCCAAGGATGGGTGACCAATTGGGAAGTTGTTCAGAAATGAATGACACGATCCTAACATAAACCTAAACAGAGAACAAGTGATCCTGTGATCATCATTGTGAAATCATCTAAAGTAAATCTTGCACCATCAAAGCCGAAAGTAGTCATCACAACTCCTTTACCATATCCATATAAGGATACCCGCAGGGTACCTTGGAATTATACTACCAATGTTTCAATGGTAGGAGGATTTGTTTCTCTGGAAAAAGCATAAGAGAAAGTACAGAGCGTGGATTCAACATCTGAAGCAGTAAGTGAAGTCGGATTCTTTACAAGAAGTGGGAGATGTTATTCTCCCGAGACATCAATTACATCAAAACAGGCAAAGGCAAAAGGAAAAGCTACAGTGATACCTCAAAAGGTATTTGATGATGAATCCCCGCCAACAGTCAATGAGCCCGTAACAGAAAAGCAAGCACAAGAATTCTTGAAATTTCTGAAACATAGTGAATATAGTGTGGTTGAACAACTACATAAACAGCAAGCGCAAATTTCAATTCTTGATCTGTTGATGAATTCAGAAGTACACAGAAATGCTTTGATAAAAATTCTTAATCAAATATTTATCCCTAAAGATATATCTCTCAACAAGCTTGACAGGATTGTGCGGCACATAGCCGCTGATAATTACATCAAGTTCACTGATGATGAAATACCGGAAGGTGGAATGGGATCAGTGAAAGCTTTGAATATTACAACACATTGTCATGGCCATGTGTTACCAGGAGTACTAATTTATAATGGATCTGCTCTTAACTTAATGCCTTTGGTTACATCACAAAGGATGCCAGTAGATAAATCGCACATGAAGAGTTATCAGAATATAGTGTGAGCTTTTGATGGCACTCAAAAACAGGTGCTTGGAAAAATGGAAATATCACTGCTGATCGGACCAGTCGTATACAATATTGACTTTATGGTAATGGATATCCACCCTACATATAATTGTTTATTAGGAAGGTCGTGGATTCATTCTGTAGGAGCTGTTCTTTCTTCATTGCATCAGAAATTGAAGTTCGTTGTTGACGGTCAACTGATATGTGTAAGAGCTGAGGAATAAATCATTGCCTCTATAATGAGTGATGCTCCGTATATCGAAACCAATGATGATGCTCTCGAGTGCTTTTTCCGAGCTTTGGAATTTGTCAATGCAACTTTTATTGCTGAGGGGAAGCAAAATTCCACATCCCAGATTGTCCGATTGCACCAAAATGATTATACGACATACTTTAGGCATTGGAGCTAAAACTGGGAAAGGTTTGGGAAAGAATCTTCAAAGAAGTTCAAGTCCGGTAAATATGAAGATGAAAAAATATCGTTTTGGGCTTGGATTTAAGCCCAACTTTCAACAAAGAGATGAAGAGAATAGGTGAGGATAGAAGGGCCAGATTGAAAGGAGAAGAAATTATGTGGGAATGCATGTCTTTCCCTCATCTAAAGTTTACTTTCAAATCTGGAGGAATGGTTAATGTAGAACAACAGCTTATTGATGCTCTTAAAGAAGAAAAGTTAACAAAAGATCAAAGCATGGTTGAAAAAGCTATGGGAGGATTATTTACATGATTACAAATGACCACAAGACTGGCAAATACTTGACTGGAATTCGCCCTTGTCTTCCTGGTGAAACACTCAACAATTGGACTGCTAAATATCTCCCTGTAGTTTTTAGTATTAACACAGAGTAATACACAGAAGCAATCTTTATGTTTTAGCCCAAGAATATAAAACAATTTTGTTATCTTGTAAGGGCAGTTGTTAAGTTCACTTAATATCAAATATAAGAAGTTTTCTTAAAATTCTCAAATGACAATCATTCTTTATACTTTACATTTTTACATTCATTATTTCTCATTCTTTATACTTATTTCATAAATTTACTATATCTTTTCTGAAATATGTCCGACTTAAATTTGCAGGTGTCACAATGTTAATAGCATGATTATTCCTAAATTTAATCATGAGATAAATTTAGAGCAGCCCATATGTCTGGAAGAAATCAATGAGTGTGATGATGAAGTAGAATGTGATGTTCCTACTGAATTGTTAAGACTAGTAGAAAAAGAAGACAAACAAATTTTACCTTACAAAGAAGAAATTGAGATTGTAAATCTGGGAACCGATGAAGAAATGAAAGAAGTGAAAATTGGTACTACTTTGTCAGCCCAGATAAAACGAGAATTAATATATCTCCTCCAAGAGTTCAAAGATATATTCGCCCGGTCTTATCAAGATATGTCTGGTTTGAGTACAAATATAGTGGTGTACAAACTTCCAATCAGTCCATCATATAAACCTATTCAACAAAAGATCAAGCGAATGAGGCCAGAAATGTTATTGCAGATCAAAGAAGAAGTGATGAAGCAGATTAATACAGGTTTCCTACAGGCAGCCAAATACCTAGAATGGGTAGCCAACATAGTTCCAGTACCAAAGAAGAATGGGAAAGTTCAAATGTGTGTGGATTACGGGGATCTTAATAAAGCTAGTCCGAAAGATAGCTTTCCATTACCTCACATAGACACATTGGTGGACAATATTGCAGGACATGCATGGTTTTCCTTCATGGATGGCTTTTCAGGGTATAATCAGATAAAAATGAATCCTGAGGACATGGAAAAACAATATTTGTAACCATGTGGGGCACTTTATGTTACAAAGTAATGCCATTTGGATTGAAAAATGCAGGGGCAACGTATCAGAGAGTAATGGTAACTCTGTTTCATGACATGATGCATAAAGAGATTAAAGTATATGTGGATAACATGATTTCCAAATCCCGAACCGAAGAAGAACATATTCAAAATCTAAGAAAGCTTTTCCAAAGATTGAGAAAGTATCAATTAAAGCTCAACCCTGATAAATGTACTTTGGGGGTGATACCAGGGAAGCTTTTGGGATTTGTAGTCAGCCAAAAAGGAATCGAGATTGATCCAGATAAAGTAAAATCAATTAAAGATCTTCCGCCACCCAATACAAAGAAAGAAGTTCGAGGCTTTTTGGGAAGATTAAATTATATATCTCGGTTCATTTCTCAATTAACTGACAAATGTGATCCAGTGTTCAAGTTACTCCGAAAGAACAATCATGAAGTCTGGAATGATGAATGTCAAGAAACTTTGGATATTATTAAGAAATATTTATCCAATGCCCCTATTTTAGTATCACCAGTACCTGATAGACCGTTAATTCTCTACTTGATAGTCTTTGAAAATTCGATGGGATATGTACTGGGACAACATGATGAATCTGGAAGAAAAGAGAAAGCCATTTATTATCTGAGTAAGAAATTTACTGATTGTGAAATTCGATACCCAACAATACAAAAATTATGTTGTGCCTTAGTGTGGGTTACTCGAAGGCTCAAACAATACATGTTATATCATACCACTTGGCTGATATCTAGACTTGATCATTTAAAGTTCTTAATGGAATCACCAGCTTTGACAGGCAAAATGGCTAGATGGCATATGTTATTATCCGAGTTTGATATTGTATATGTCAACCAAAAAACGATAAAATGAAGTGTCATAGCTGATTTTCTGGCCAGTCGTGTATCTGATGATTATCAGTCTCTGAGTTTTAACTTTCCAAATGAAGATTTGTTGTGCATATCCATGAGCGAAGAAGTTAGAACAAATGATGAATCTTGGAAGCTTTATTTTGATGGAGCATCCAATGTCTTGGGAAGAGGAATTGGGGCAGTGTTAATTTCTCCAGAAAATATCTATTATCTTTTCACAAGCATACTGGAGTTCTTTTTCACCAATAACATGGCGGAATATGAAGCTTGTGTCATGGGATTGAAGGCAGCCATAGAAAGAAAAATTAAATTTCTCAAGATATACGGAGATTCATCATTAGTGGTGTATCAATTACGATGAGAATGGGAAACAAAAGATCCCAAATTGCTGGAATACCGAAATTTTACCCTCGAATTAGTGAAAGAATTTGACATAGTCACCTTCAATTATCTCCCTCGAGAGGAAAATCAAATGGCATATGCTTTGGCTACATTAGCTGTTATATATCCACAAAATGCATCTGAGATTAATAAAAGAACATTGAGAAGAATGGCTGCTGGATACTTTCTTGATGGCGAGACTTTGTATAGAAGAAGCAATGATCAAATGCTATTGAGATGTGTCAATAATAGTGAAGTCAGAAGCATCATTGAAGAAGTACATAGTGGGATATGTGGACTATCCACAAAATGCATCTGAGATTAATAAAAGAACATTGAGAAGAATGGCTGCTGGATACTTTCTTGATGGCGAGACTTTGTATAGAAGAAGCAATGATCAAATGCTATTGAGATGTGTCAATAATAGTGAAGTCAGAAGCATCATTGAAGAAGTACATAGTGGGATATGTGGAACACGTGCAAATGGTCTTTCCATGGCTAGAAAAATAATGAGATATGGATATTATTGGGCTACCATGCACACATATTGCATTGATTTTACAAGAAGATGTCATAAATGCCAGGTATATACAGATAACATTCATGCACCTCCATCGCCTTTACATGTAATGATTGCACCTTGGCCATTTTCTATGTGGGGAATAGACGTCATTGGGGCAATCACACCAAAAGCATCAAATGGCATTGTTTTATCCTAGTGGCAATTGACTATTTTACCAAGTGGGTTAAAGCTGCTTCATATGTCAATATTAAGAGATCCACAGTTTACAAATTTATAAAGAAAGAAATAATCTGCCGGTATGGGCTACCAGAGAGAATCATTACATATAATGCTATGAACTTGAACAACAAAATGATGACTGAACTTTGTGCACAGTTTAAAATCAAGCATGCAAACTCAGTGGCGTACCGTCCAAAGATGAATGGAGCAGTTGAAACAGCAAATAAGAACATCAAGAGAATCATTACAAAGACTACTGAAACTTACAAAGATTGGCACGAGAAATTACATTTTGCTTTATATGCATATCGAACTACTGTGCGAACATCTACTGGGGCAACACCTTTTTCTTTAATTTATGGGATGGAAGCAGTCTTACCGATTGAAGTTGAGATCCCATCACTTCGAATCTTGAGAGAGGTAAAATTAGATGAGTCTAAATGGATACAAGCTCATTTGATCAATTGAACCTTATTGAGGAGAATAGATTGAAAGCTATTTGCCATGGACATATGTATCAGAAATGGATGATGAAGTCTCATGACAAGAGAGTATATCCAAGAGAATTCCAAGAGGGTGGTCTAGTGCTGAAAACGATCTTGCCTATACATAAAGATTTCCGTGGGAAATGGATGCCTAATTGGGAAGGGCCATATGTTGTAAAAAAGGCCTTTTCCGGAGGAGCGTTGATTTTGGCAGAAATAGATGGAAAAGTTTTGAGAAACCTAATAAACTCAGATTCTGTCAAGAAATATTATGCTTGAAGAAGAAAAAAAATGAAAATGATGAAAAAATATATGTAGAAAATGAGGGTCAAGATGAAAACTCGCAAAGGGCGTCTTGCAACCAAAGGAAGGATTTGAGTTGAAAACCTGAAAGGGCTGCTCAAATGTATGTTGATATTAGGCATCTGGCAATTAAACCCTCTTAAGAGCTTGATATTTTGGAAGGAACTTTATATCTACAAGCATTCTGGCAACGTTTGAGATCTTCCAGACATAAGCTTACCTCAGTGCTCTAAATTATATCAAGTTGATTAGTTAGAAATACTTATGCTAATAATTTGTTGAGTCATTTGAATTTTTATCATTCTCATGTTTGCCATGACTTTGAATACATTTGAATATATTTTTTATTCCAAGATTTTCTTTTTGAAATTCAATTTCTTTTGCTCGAAATTTAATTTATTTATTTTCACATAAACATCCTGTAAATGGATTAACATAATCTTGAAACAAACAAAATATTTCTGGTTATCACTTTATGTTAATACTTTTAAGTACATGGAATCCAAAATAAGTCTTATCAATGTTTGCTATCACTGTTGAAAAATAAACAAATTATTACCATCATAGAGTCATTTGGAAGTAGAATAAGAGGAAATATGTTCTCAATTGGCAGATTATAAATATAGCCCCTTTTCCGTGCAGCAGCACAAAAATACTTCGAATCTATAAATTCTGGCTCTACATCATATAAGTACCGTGACATTTCGGTCCAAACACCAACTGGAGCAAGTGCCACGTTCTCGTAGTAGAAATAAGGAGGCCCAATAGCATCTTCTGGAAGTGTTCTTTGAGTTATCAGATCTGGTTTGGTAGGAACCCTAAAACTAATAATTAGATTTATAAGATTAACTGCATGATCGTCTTCATTAAGAAGCTTCTTTTCAAACTTCCTCTGCTTCTTCCTTTTCAACAAATCATAACCTAAGTTTCGTCTTTTCTTGTAATTGTGGTTATTGCATAATGGCTTCCTATATTCTATCGAAAGAAGTGCATCAGCAGCCTTAGCCATTTGAGCAGCACATATAAATTTTGTCAACTCTACAATTGATGAATTCAGACCACATCTCTCTATGGATATTGAAGCCTCAACCTCTGAGTATCCCATTTTCATCAAGTATAACAGTTTATTCTCCTCATCAAAATCAAAATTCAGGATTTCCTCGGTATCATAAGAACTATCAATATCTGTGAAATCATCTTGAAAAATCACTTAATAATCAAATGAGTAGTTATCAGAATCAACATGTTGCATGAGTGCGAACTTTTCAAGAGCCTATACCATTGAGTTTTGTTCTCAAGTGGTTTTGTGACATCATACAAAAATTCAGGCATATCTACGTCTACACTCTCCAAAGATGATAGATTCTCTGTTCAAAGAAGAAAGATTTATTGGATTTTAACACAATTGAAGAAATACCGAGTTCACCACTTTGAAATCAAATAAAGATGAACTTAACATTCATGCATCATATTTAGACATTTGCAAAATAAGGGCATTTTCATTCATTTTATCCATGTTAAATATTTGACAGGAATTTTAAAGATTTTAGCAAAGATTCAAATCCATCACTCAATGGATCAACATTTCTGGAAGAGTTTATAATGAGAAGAACTCATTTGAAGAAGGAAGAAGAAGTTCATAATGAGAAGAACTTGTTTAACCTTTTTCTCGAATTCATCACTTGATGGATCATCATTGCCAGGTAGAGTTCATAATGAGAAGAACTCACCTGAAGAAGGAAGAAGAAATTCATAATGAGAAGAATTTGTTCAAACCTTTTGTTTGAATTCATCACTCGATGGATCAACTTTTCCAAAGAAAGTTCATAATGAGAAGAACTTATCTGAAGAGGAAGAAGAAAATCATAATGAGAAGAACTTGTTCAACCTTTGTTTGATTCTATCACAGAAGGAGATAGATCAGCATCAATATTTCCAGAAGTGTTCATAATTAGAAGAACTCATCTGAAGAATGAAAAGAAGTTCATAATGAGAAGAACTTGTTCAATCTTGCCTTTAATTCATCACATATTGAAGTTAAATCAACAATGCCTCTTTTGAAGATCAGCATTTCCAGAAGGAGTTCATAATGAGAAGAATTCATATGAAAAAGAAGAAGAAGTTCATAATGAGAAGAACGTGTTCAACCTTTTGTTGAATTACATCACAGAAAAAGATAGATTATCATCCCCAGTGGAAAAATGGAAGAGTTCATAATAAGAAGAACTTGTTCAACATTTCTATCTTAATCAAGAGAAGTCAACTGAACAAAAATTTATTGTCTTTTCATCTTTGCCCTATTCTTGTTAACACAAGAATGTACAAAGAGGGGCAGCTGTAGCACTAAATTTTTGCCCGTTTTATTTTTATTATTATAATTATTATTATTATTATATTTTTATTATTAATAATAAATATTATTATTACATATTACAGGTCCAAAATCAGAGCCCATTTACAACATAGGCCCGATCCAACCCTGCCAGGCCCAACTACAACCGGCCTAACCAAACCCTAAAATCATATTAGGGTTTCCCTCTACTCCCAGCCGCCATTGCTTGTTGCCGTTGGATCTAATCTTGATCCAACGGTCCCAGATGCACCAGCTTGAAACCCTAGGGTATCATAACCCTAGGGCCACACTGCCGCCGTTGCTTTTGTCGCCAATCCACTCTGTTTCAGCCGTTGCCACGTTCAAACCAAGGGCTCTAGAGAGGTCAACTCCAGTCGTCCACGTCGCAACTATGGGGTGAGTCACACATAGTTCGATGTCTCACCGAAAACTGCTCTATTACCCGGTTCGAAGACATCGTCGGTGGTGGCTATAAAAGCCACCGAGCCCTGCCAACAGAAAGGGGAGGAAGAATCCGAGGGTACAACAACACGAACCAAAAACCAGCAAATATAACCACACAACAGCAACAGAGACCAAAAATCGAGAGAAAACAAAGTGAGAACGAGGGACTTACCAACAAAGAAAGCCCAATCGTCGCTGGAGACGTTGTTTCAACCGAGGTAAAAACTTCGGTTTTCCTAGATCTACAGAAATTTAAGGGGATATAGGGAAAACAGAGGCTGTATTGGGCCTTAGGAGGTCAAAACCTATATTCTAGTGTAATTTGGGAGTTTCGGCCACCATAAGTGGTGGCCGACGATAGTGGTCGGTGCCGGATCCCGACTGCCGACCGGTGGTCTCTCTCTCGATTTTAGAGAGAGGCGAGAGAGAAATCTCAGTTTTAGAGGGAGAAGAAAAAAAAGAGGAAAATGAGATGGTGGCCCGAATGGCCGGTTATAACATGGTATATATACCATCTCTTAAATGACGTCGTTTAAGGGAGGGATTTTGTGTAATTTCACGCATGGCTAAACTATTCCCGCAGCCACTGTAACTTTAAAAACTTGCAATTTGATCCTTATAGCATGTTTTAATTTATTATAATTTGGTATTCAAATTTTAATTTATTATAATTTAGTCCTTTATATAAAATATATATATTTTAGGCAAATAACCGATTTAGCCCTCATAATTTTATTAATTAATATTTTAACCCCGAATAACATGTTTTAATTTCTTTTAATTTGATGTACAAATTTGATATAATTTTATTTTATTCACTAAATTAATAAATGGGTAAAATATCATGTTTAGCCATTGTAATTTTAAATAATTAATTACTAATTAGATATTTAATTTTAATATATTCTAATTTTGTCATTAATTTTAATATCTTCATTTATTTTTAATTATAAACTTTATTTCTTTTTATATTTTAAATATATAGTTTTAATTTCATTTTAGTCACTATTTAGTTATATTTCAATTTTATATGTTTATTTTCAATATATTTAAATTATTATTATTATCAATATATATATATAATAAATAATTTTTTTATTTTATTTTTTTTCTATTAAAATCCTATTTATAAATTTAAAAATGACTTTTAAGAAAAATAATCATATTTTAAATATATATTTACTTTTCAATATTAAGAAAGGGCAGTCTTAAAGCAACTAGATGTCCATTTTCTGATATTTTTAAATAAATAAATATCTTATTTTTCATAAATTATATATATTAATCTATTTTTTTAATTATTTTTAGATAAATGTTTTAATATTTATTTATTTTTTAATATTAAGAAATGAGCTGTCTTAAAGCACCTAGAAGCCATTTTCTGATATTTCTAAATAAATAAATATCTATATATATATATATATATATATATATATATATATATATATATAGATTTCTTAAATTATAGTAATAAATTTGAAATAACAGTATTATAAATTAAATATATCTTCGAATTTTTAAATTTCTAATAATAGAGACAATTTATAATTAATGAATACCAATTTTGGGCGTTATAGGGGTGCTAATCCTTCCCTAAACGTAATCGACCACGAATCCCTTCTTTATAAAATATTTTTTGGTTATACACAGATCAGTTTATATTTTAAATTATGTTTTCTTGAAAACTATTTTAAAAGATTGTTTTTAGGTATTTGACCTACCTAACCCAAAAAAGTCAATGATGACTACCAAAATATTTTATTTTAAATCAAAATCATTTATTTATTCATTTTAATTTTCCCACCAAGTAAAATTTCGTGCCCGGACGAAAATTGGTTACCACAAAATATATTATATAACAATGTTAATCTAAGGGACAAAATTTGGTGTCTTAACTTCCTTCTCCTTGTAAGGTTTGATTTGAAGAGGTTGCTTCCAAAATCGACTATGATGTATTTGCTTGCTTTATCATTATACTTTGAAATAAGTGGAATAGACGAAACAAATGGTGCCATGACAACATAAACCAGACGACGAAGTGATCAATGTCACATGGACCCTCGAAATTGAGCTTAAGGTAGCTATCCAAAACTCTCAAATTCGGGTTCTCAACTAGGAATCGTCAAGAAAATGGACAAAACCGATTATATGGGAGCTCAAGATTAATGTCAACGGGACATTTATCCCACATTCCATGGAAGCTTCTGTCGGAGTAATTGCTTGTGATCATCATGGCCTTGTTATTAAAGGTGTTGCACAAAAGCTTGATGGTGTCCATTCTGTCGCATCTACAGAGGCTACAACTTTCATTCAATCCGCTGTAATTTATGGATGAATCGAAATATATCGAACAATTTCTATCCTTTATACGATTGGCATTTAAATGAAATTCACACCTTACAAAAATAGAACTGATAAAATTTTCCGTTCAGCCCCGCAAAAAAAAGTATTGAGAAAAGAAAGCCTAAAGGCTCGAAAAAAGGATGGGATTCCATTTCCATTCGCGCCAATTTATCAACATATATTTCAAGCTTTCGCCCCACTCTTTCTTTCTATCCGAGGCGATTCTGTTTACTTCTTCCTCAATTCCTTGGAATTGAATGCTAAAGCCTCGCCCATCCCATCTCCTTTGCTATACTTGTCTTTCTCGCTCTCTCAACCTTGTCATTCCTCCATCTTCTTCTTCATTTTCTCCCTCTTCTAAGTGCCATTTCTTTCGCTCCAAACCCCTCTCTCTTTCCTCTTTAAACCCTTACTCCAATATGTCTTCTCGCCCCTCCGCCTTCGATGCTCTCATGTCCAATGCTCGCCGTTTAGCTGGCGAAAAGAGTCCTCACTCCTCTTCGCCCACCAAGAAACGCAAATCCAAAACCATCGACTCAACTGAAGTCAAACCCGACCCAGAAGTCCCCAGTGGTGGAATTCAAAAACCCAATTTAGATGAGACGAAGAAACCCCCGGATTTGAAGAAGATGAAACCGGGGAGTGCCTCGGAGAGAAATGTGGAGTTGAAAGGGAAAATTGCGCTATTGAAGAAGAAGCCGGCGGATTTTGATCCAAAAATGGTGGTGTGTTGGGAGAAAGGAGAGAGGGTTCCGTTTTTGTTTCTGAGCCTGGCGTTTGATTTGATATCGAATGAGACGGGTCGGATTGTGATAACTGATATTGTTTGTAATATGTTGAGGACTGTTATTGATACCACACCGGATGATTTGGTGGCGACGGTTTACCTGGCAGCAAATAAGGTTGCTCCGGCGCATGAGGGGATAGAGCTGGGAATTGGAGATGCCTCCATTATCAAGGCCCTGGCTGAGGCCTGTGGAAGGACTGAATCACAGATCAAGAGTCAGTACAAGGTATAATGTTACGCTTCTCTTTATTTTGGGGCTTGATTAGAGCTTGCTAACACATTATCTTGCCATTTAGTTACGTTGATTTACTTTTGACAGGAAAGAGGAGACCTGGGCCTTGTTGCACAAGCTAGTCGTTCATCCCAATCGATGATGCGCAGGCCTGATTCATTAACTGTTGTCAAAGTGTTTGACACCTTTCGGCTAATTGCTAAGGTTCACCATTTTCTTTCTCAAATTGAATTACTTTAATAGAGGGATGCATTTGGTTCTAATGAACTGCACCTGAGTCTTTGATCTTGACATCCATGGCTGAAATGGCTGTTTAGTTGCCTTGCATTACATGAATGCTGCACGTGCCCATCTTCTTTGAATGCGGACTCATTTTGATGTAACCATGGATATTTTACACCGTTTGTGTTGTGATGCACATCTTTTTTAATATTTCTAAACCCAATGTTTCATTTTAAATTGTAGCATTAATATGTCATTGTTTTATGTAATATAGTGCACAACATCGTTTTTATATATGGGTAGAACATCTGAACTCTGCTAGGCTTCATTCTATGATGGAAATGAAATTGTTGAGTTTTCTGTCTAAATTCTTCAGCCTCTCGTCTCATTCTCTGCTTAATCTACTGTTCTCTTCTTAATTTCTGTTAGTCCTTAGTTTTATCTTGCATCATACTGACATAAATTGATCACTTGGTATACACCCTACATGCATTAGTAGGTGAACTGTTTCCGATATTACTATTGCTTTTGCAATTATAATTCTCGGGACCTTCTGCAGTACAGCCTTGCCCAATATGTGTGGAAGAGAATGCATTAATTATTGGTTCTTGTTTGTGTATATTTATACATTTAATGTTATGGATTTCCCCAATTTTGGTCTGCTTATACAGGAATCTGGAAAGGACAGTCAGGAAAAGAAAAAGAATCGTATCAAGGCACTTCTTGTTGCTGCAACTGACTGTGAACCTCTGTTCTTGATTCGTCTACTTCAGGTTGTAACTAGGAAATAAATTTAGTACTACTTTAAATTTGTTCCTTGATTGTAAGATTTCTCAGGTTCTTCATGCAGATAAAGTTGCGGATTGGGTTTTCAGATCAGACTCTGTTAGCTGCGCTAGGACAGGCTGCAGTATATAATGAACAACATTCTAAACCACCTCCAAACATTCAGTCTCCATTTGAGGAGGTAACTAAATTTTATTGATGTGGAAATTAAACATATTTTTTCTTGAATCATCAATCTACTCTATCAGCTCAACGTGTCATGCATTTTGTAGTTCATTCGTATGAATTACATTATAAGATTCCACAAACACATTAAGAGCATGAGGCTGAGATGTACATGAAATGATGTGTCATCAAATTTAGAGATTATGAAAACTTTTTGAAACCTAAAATGGACTGGCTTGTAGTTTTCTATTTATTTCATCAGTGTTCTTGGGATGTAGGTTAGAGATGACATCTGATTTAAATCTTTGTAGACTGATAATGGTGAAGTGGCAAATGGAATTGGCTGGTGAAAGATATCGGCATCTATCAAGGCCTGCACGTGGTTGAAATTTTGAAAAATGGGTTTTCATTGCTCTGGAGTTGTACTTTTTATCTTAATTTGCTGCTTGCTACCTTTTCTTTTGTATAGCTGTGTGTTGAGTATTCACCTTTAGCTCTTCCATATTGATCCTTAGTAATGCACTGCTATTTATCTTTGATGGCTCTCATGCAGGCTGCCAAAATTGTCAAACAAGTTTTTTCTATCCTCCCAGTATATGATAAAATAGTCCCTGCACTTTTGACTGGCGGTATATGGGATCTTCGAACGACTTGTAGCTTTACACCGGGTGTCCCAATTGGACCTATGCTAGCAAAACCTACCAAAGGTGTTGCTGAAATTGTAAATAAATTCCAGGATACTGACTTTGTATGTGAATATAAATATGATGGAGAACGTGCACAGGTAATAGAATTTAAATTGCTACTTCTTGTTTCTGTTAGTATACATCATGTGGAGAGAAAATATCTAAGTGCCTTTTGTAGATTCACTACATGGAGAATGGTTCAGTTGAGATATATAGTCGAAATGCTGAGAGGAACACAGGAAAGTTTCCTGATGTTGTTTCTGCAATTTCTAGGTAGACCTCTATTATTATTGCGACTTGTTCTGCTGATGTGTGCTATTTATTTCTTGTTTGTTGATTAAAGGTTCTTTGTCTCCCCTTTACCAAACAAAGCATACTGGTTAAAACTTATCTTCTGAGAGATTCCTTACAACGTATGGTTAAAAAAGTTTCTAATTAATTGAAACTCAGCTATTGCCACTTCATATTATAATACCTACTATTTAAGTTAGTTGCTTCATATGATATTTTGGTTTGACTGTCCAAAATATATTGGTACTAAAAAAATTGTAGTGATGGTCGTAAGTTACAGGTATCTTTTCCTGCTATTGTTAAGGTGGTATCTCTACTAATGTAAGTCTAGGATGGCAAAAGTTGTAGTAATGGCCATATTACTTCTCTTTGTGAAAAAATATGACTTGCTAGAATTATTTAGAGAAAAACCTAATGAGAACTTCTTGACTGGCATTGACTTTTACGTGAAAATTAGATACTGGCATTAGATGTTACTAATCCTAATAAGAAGCTTGACAATAGAGATAAGCATTCATTTATTATACAGTTACAGTATCTTAAATTGGTGATTGCAAACTATTGTAGCATGCTACTGCTACTGCAATGTTGGTTTAGTTACTAAAATTTTCTTTCTTGTGTAGATTCAAGAAGTCCTCCGTAAAATCATTTGCTTTGGATTGTGAGCTTGTTGCTTATGATCAAGTTCAAAAGAAAATTTTACCCTTTCAGGTAACTTGTTACATACTTTTCTTTAGAACTTATTGCGCAATGCTGGTTTTGCTGGTTCTATTTTGTGTACAAATTCATTTGTCTCCGTAATACTATACTATGTATTAGTTGTTGATCCTTCAACAATCAGAACACATCTTACTATCTAGCATTTCAGTATTAACATATTTCCAAAATGTTTGCATTAGTTTTGTATGGTAAAATTGGCCATATTTTGTCGCTGTTAACCGTTGATTAATTCTTTTTGGATGTTATGGAAGACGTTTACTGGAAATACTCTGAATCCAGGGTTTCTAAAGGTGATATTGGTGACAGCCTGTTTTTTGATATGCAGATCCTTAGTACACGAGCACGAAAAAATGTGGTAGAGAGTGAAATCAAAGTTGACGTGTGCATATTTGCTTTTGACATCTTATATCTTAATGGGCAATCACTTCTTCATGAACAGCTTAAAGTTCGGAGAGAGGTATGGGTTAGGCTACAACACATTTGGTAATAAAATTATTTTTGCCAGGATTTATGAAGTGATTCTATCGCTACAACAATGTATATCCTTGGTAAACTGCTTATATCACCATTTTTATCTCAAATGTTAAAATTTCAATTGTATTAGTATTAGCAAGAATTCACTATGAAGATTTGTGTTATGCGACAAGGAGACTGTGGCCTGCATGGCTAAGTAACTGATTGGGAGTGTTACTTGTTTTTCTCGTGCGCTGCATATCATGTGCCCTATCCAATTCACCAGGGTTTTCTTCTATTTGCCCTTTGCAGAGGCTTTATGATTCATTTGATGAAGAAGCTGGATTTTTTCAGTTTGCAACAGCCTTAACATCAAATGATCTTGAGGAGATTCAAGCTTTCCTTAATTCTGCTGTTTCTTCAAGGTATTTGACTATTTGTTTAATTCTTCCAGAAACGTTTAGCTGGCAGCTGGAATCTGCCCAATAAGTATTGTAAAAGAAAGTCAGGGAAATAATATTATTTTTTCCATAAAGTACCTTGGGATTCTGTGATGCTAATCAGTCTTAGTTTTCAGTTGTGAGGGTTTAATTATCAAAACATTGGATAGAGATGCTACGTACGAGCCATCAAAGCGGTCACTCAACTGGCTAAAATTGAAGAAAGATTACATGGAAAGGTAAGGTGTTAGAAATGTTTCTTGGTGCAAATTACGATTAGGTATTATTTTGTGCATATGCAACTTTTGATGTTCCTCTGTTCCATGCAGTATCGGAGACACATTAGATCTCGTACCTATTGCTGCTTTCCATGGCCGTGGGAAACGGACTGGTAATCCTTTTTGTTTACGTATCTGATGACTGGTGCTCATATAGAGTTTAGCTTATGCTCTGATTGTTTCTGCGCCCATTTTAGTTTTTATGTGATTATTTCTTTAGTTGATGTCTCATTTGTGTTGACGGTACAATCATGTTTATCCTTAGGCGTCTATGGTGCCTTTCTCTTGGCATGTTACAATGACAGTAATGAAGAGTTCCAGAGTATCTGTAAAATTGGTTAGTGAAACTTGAATTGCAACTTTTCAACATATTGGTTGTCTTTCCAGCTGATGATCGCTGTCCCACCTTCCCTTTTCCTTCTCTCTTTGATGCTCAATAGGTACAGGATTTTCTGAAGCACAACTTGAAGAATGTTCTGCCAGTCTCCGCTCTAAAGTGATTCCTGAACCAAAGGTTTGCCTTCTGATATTATCTTCTGTTGTAAGAAAGGAAATTGTGAGCAAATCTAACTTTTGATAAGCATAAAAATTATGATTTTCTTATTGGTTACAGTCATACTATCGTTGCGAGATAAAGCCAGATGTTTGGTTTGAGGCTTCAGAGGTAAAACTGCACTTTGATTATTTTTGGGTGTTTGTGAATTTGTTAATTGCATGATCCATGATGTCTATGTACCTGTAATGGACAAAACTGTTTTTTTGTGGAAGGAGTATGCTTGCATGATGCATCAAATCAGGTAAGGAATGGTTTGGTCAATTGGTTGGGAGGTTGCTGCTTGCCACAGCTGTATTAGGATCACACTCAAGCCTATTCCATTTTATGGTTGGTGGGAAGTGTGCCTTTAGTCTCTAATATGATGGGGCAAAGCACCATTCCTATACATGTAATATTGTCGTAAACAGCCACAATGAATTCTCAGTTTTCTAGATCAGAGTGGTGAACTTTCTCAATTACAGTATTCTGTAGCATGGTGCATGCTTGCATTATTTGTTATCACATTTTTTGCTCCACGTTCTCCCTTCATCCTGGCTGCCTCTGTCCATGACCTGTTTGTAGAGTATGCTTTTTGTTCTTCAAGGATCCACGTATTGTAGGCGCTTGAAATAATTATAAACTGATTTCCCCAGGCTCCAGTAAATGCTTTTCTCATTGTGTACTTGCTTCAATTTTTTGAAATCTGGGTTTCTGAATATTCCTCAATAGATTATATAAGTAGTTTTTGTTTCCCATTCAAAAATTAAATGGTTTCTGCTGTATCAATTGAGATGATATTGTTATGTCCTACAAAAGTTCAAACATTTTTTAGACCCTAAATGGTTTAAGAATTGTGTTCCTATATTATTGTTGCAACTACCCTTCTAATCTCCCTTTTGCATTCAATAACTATGATTGTATAATTAGGCTATTACTATTCATTTCGGTGGTTCCTTTCTTCTTAAAATGTCTTTTTGAACTTCTAGCAGGTTTGGGAGGTAAAAGTTGCAGACTTGACCATTAGCCCTGTTCATTGTGCTGCTATTGGGATTGTGAATCCTGCTAAGGTGGGATAAAAGTTGTCACATGTTGGAAGTCTTTTAGTTTTGTTTATTCATTTTAATTTATTTCTCAATGTCCTATATGTATGATTTGATTGCTGAATTCTGGGGGTGGGTGACTTAGTTTGGATCCTGCAACTGTTGTTTTTATCAAACTTTTCTGTGTTAGTAGAAAATGAACTCATCTAATTCCTCATTATTCTTGGTAAAAGGGTATATCTCTCCGGTTTCCCCGTTTAGTTCGTGTTCGAGAAGATAAGACACCAGAGCAAGCTACATCATCAGAGCAGGTGAAGAAAAAATTGTCTGATAATTGGTTCATATGATTTATGGCGGAGCAACAACTTCACTTAATTCTCTTTTTGTTTAAGTACTTTTCCTGAATATTTGCAGGTGGCTGAGATGTATAATGCTCAAAAACACAATCAAACTAATAATGAAGACGATGGTGAGGATGATTGAGGAATTCTGATAAGCCTCAATATTTTTCCTACCCGGGTAGGTGAATTGCGATAATTTAATGTGTGAAGGGGACTGTTAGTCTCCAGTTTCTAAACCTTGCAGTGTAAATACAGATTTTCCTATTCTCGGTTGCAATCAAGAAAGTTTCTATTGCTGGATAGGCTAATTTCTTTGCCAATTTTCTGGAAAGCTAAAGGCTGCCGATTTTTCAATGCAATTTGCTGCCTATATTGAAAAATCAAGTTGGAATTGTCGTCAAGTAATGCTATTGATTTTTGTTTTATCATGTTCATTGTATTAGAGCCTTGGTCTTCTTCTAATCTGGGACTCTTAAGGGGAGATGTTTATCTGGGAACCTACTGGTTCTTCTAAGGTACATTATCTGAGGTGTTTTGGGTCTATCCAAGAATGGTTGCCTTGTTAGATGGGATTTATCGAAGTCGTTAGGCATCAGTCTTGACCTGAAACTAACAGGGTAGAAGTCTATATTATAAAATGTGAATTAGTAAAAAGAATTTTTAGTATATTTAATAACAAAATTTCAATAGTATAGGGCTAGAAGCATATGTCCCGCATTATTAAAACAAAAATTTCTCAATCTTATGGGATGGACGCCAACATTAACAAATATAGCAAATGATTTCCATCAAAATTTAAACTCGCTTCATGAAGGTATAAAAAATCATGCGTTTGCCGGGAGTCGAACCCGGGTCTATTGCTTGGAAGGCAATTATCCTAACCGTTGGACTACAAACGCTATTTGTTAGGGGGTCGTGAGATGATCAACATCAAGGGTTCATATATTAACAGCAGAGTCACAAGAAGATGTGATATTGTTAAAAACACTGAAATGAAGTCCATTGGATCCGATCTGTCTTCACATTATAACATATACTCTAATTTATTGGCCTCCTATCTGGATACACAGCCATATTAGTGCCATGCGTCAGTTTACGTGCATAATTAACATCATTAATAGTGTATAGATATGACCATATTTCTGTCATATGCCAGAGATTACGTGTATAACATCATTAATACTGTAAAAAGTTAGATTGAAAATTGAATTAGTTTGATTTTTAACTCAATTAATAGTCATAAAAGCGAAGGTTATGGTAAACTATGATCTCTCTGAAATGTGTACTATAACTATCAAAAAATAATAAAAAGTCTTTTTGATCGATTGATTCCATCCACCATTAGTTTTAACTTCGTCATCACTTCACCGGCTGATGAGCGATTCTATAAACCTCTTATTCCAACTCCATAATCTCTTGTTGATGGCAGTGGCAGGGAAAGAGAGGTCGATCAAAAGCAATTTTAAAATAAATAAATTATACTCCATCTAGTCATACGATACATGACATAACTATTGAGTCGAATTTCAAATTTAAGATATGGATTACAACAATATCTTCTAATGTAGTTAATGTAAAAAAAAAAGGAATAAAAATATTCAAGGAATGACTTTAAGTGTAAAATTGATGGAATTATAAAAAAAAAAAAGGATAAGGACAACATTGCTGATTTAGGTTTATTTCAAAAACATAATGACTCTTGAAGTGAAATGAAACTTTTAAGTCTGTATTGGTGTTATAAACAGAATCTCACATTTTGGATCGTACTTGGGCGACAAGTTGTCTCCTCAGAATTTTCCCAGAAGCCGACTTTGGGACACTGTTTATGAATGTCACCTTCCTTAACCTTTTGAAAGGTGCCACCTGCGTAGGACAAAAATAATCAAGGCCCTAGGCTTACTATTTCAGTAACAATAATCTATTAACAATCGGAAACATGAACTCAAAGGTATCAACTGTAAATCACCATTTCATTTGGATATCGTACCTGTTTAGCGATGAAATTTCCAACATCTTCTTCAGTTAGCCAACTGTTGGGTGAGCGAACGACGTATGCAACCGGGACCTCACCGGCTTCGTCATCGGGATATCTGTAGTGTGGCAAAATGTAACTCCGAATGATGTGTTTACAATCCCAGATTTAGATGATGCAAACAATCACAGGATTTTCGGGTATAACAACAGCATCCAATATTTCAGGGTGAGATAAAAGTAGCCCTTCAAGCTCTGATGGTGCAACCTGGTGAGTGTATTTATAAACCAAATGAAAAAGGCTATCTATTAATGTCATATAGAAGGATATTGATCTCATACTGAATGAACAAGTATAGATAGATTACTATGCATCAAATGAATCCATAGGATCTCATAATTGAACTAATGTTCCGAACTAAAGGAATGTTATGGTAAAACTTTGTTTGAAACAATATGGTTGAAAGCAATGTGTAACTTGAACAACATGATTGGCTGTGGATGTCGAAACCCACCACTTTCCATAAAGTATTTAATACTCGTGCCTGGATTATTTAATGCATAATGATAAAATTAGCCCTTAATATTTGATTAAATGATCACTTTGACCTCTATTTTTTTTTTGGAACATTTAAGCCTCTAACATTTCATTTTTTTGGGTCAAAATAACTCTTTTTAGATGAAAACTGTTAGTTGACTAACGATCTACTCATGTTGCTGACGTAGTATTTCCACGAGTGCTCAATTGATGAAGCAACACGTGTCACGTCACCTAAAGTGATAATACAACATGTGTTACGTCACTAATTAGGTACATGTGAAAATATCACGTCAGCAACCTATGACCTACGTTAATCGTTAGTCATCTAACGGTTTCGATCCAACAAAGGCTGTTTTGACAAAAAATTGAGAACTTGAGAGGCTAAAATGCTTTTAAAAAAAGAATGGAGACCAAAGTGATAATTTGAACAGATGTTGAGGGCTAATTTTGTCATTATACCATAATTTAACTGTTTGCAGAGTATATACAATTTTACGACATATCGACCTCTTAACTCATAAGAGATAAGGGTAGTTAAGAATTTTCCTGATTTGCATATGAGATGCATAGCTTGAAGTTATTGTTATAATATCAAAGATCTGGGTTAACAAACCAGCATAAACAGAGTTTAGTCTACTTGTGCATATCATCATTCAATTCAATACATCCAGGAATTTAGCAATTTAGTAGTCAGAAGATAACTAGTCGGATGTTGTTCATACCAAATAATCAATCTTGTTTTATTTCCTCGGGAAAGAACAAGCGAAGAACTTTACCTTGCATCATATTTGACCCTCGAACCCATATCTCCCCTAATTGATTTGGAGGAAGAGGCTCTGCATTTTGTGTACTAATTATCTGAGCTTCAATGCATGGAGCAAGCGATCCGGCTGAACCAGTATGCCGGACTTCTCCATCGATATAATCGCTCAAGTTTCGGTCATTCCATACCCCTGAAACCACAGGAAGTTGCATGACGAGAAGGAAACTCGTTTACTGCAACTTTTAGATGCATACAAAGGACCATATGAACTTGCAAATTACTTGAAAGCTAATGTACCTGCATAACAACAGCCTGAGGGAACTTCTTTGCGCACTCCTCCATCAACTCTTTGCCCAAAGGTGCAGCACCAGAACCAATCTCCTTCAACGAGGAAAGATCGAACTTTTTAACCACATTCTGCTTAGCCATAGCTAGCACAATGGGAGGCACAACCCACAAATTGGTTTCCCTATACTTCTCGGCGTTCCTAAAAAACGCCTCAAATTCCAACTTCACCGTTGACACCAAAGTGTTCCCCATCTGCAGCTGTCCGTACACGATGACAGCCAATCCAAACACGTGAAACATAGGCAAAATGCACAGGTAAACCCTGTGCTTATCCCCAGCAAGTTCTTGATCCTTTGTCACCATCAAAGACGATGCACAGAAATTCCGATGAGCCAGAATAACTCCCTTACTGACACCCGTCGTGCCCGAAGAGTAGAGAAGAACCGCCGTTGGTTAATTAGTTAATATCAATTGGGTTTATGGTTTTCCGGCATTCGTCTCCATTATCTTCTTCATCCATTTCCTTAATACCTATATTCCACGTTGCTTTCTGATGTCAAATCACATCGCAATGTAAATATAACAACAATGAATAATTCTCCACAATGTAAATCCCAACCAAAAATTACAATTTCAAATAGAATCCATCAAATAATTTTAATGATTTTTACTTTTAAATTCGATCAATTTTATCAGTATTTTATCAAAAAAATTAACAAATTTTAAAAATGTATTACTTTATTATTAAAAAATAACATTAATAGTCATCGATTTTCCGATTAAAAATTAAAAACATTAATAAAAATAGAAACTCGTGATTATCATTTATCTCCAATTTTCTAATTTGTATCGTCGTGGCGGAAATCCCATACTCGCATGTAATCTATCAAATCGAAAGATAATTAACAAATGAGAAAATAATTTCTGTGACCGAAAATACCTTATAATATACGATTTTAATCAATTTTTTTTTGGATTTGCGAAAATGACCAACAAATTTGCAACGCGAACTCTAATTTCGCAACACAGTTTCCAAATTCGCAACGCGAATATGTAAATCGCAATGCGAATTTGTAGTTCTCAACACAGAAGTCAAATTCGCAAAGCGCGTTTATTTTCGCAAAGCGAATTTATTTTCGAATTCGAAACACAATATTAATTTCGCAACACAAATGTAAATAGTATAATCGCAATTCATAACCTAAAACCCAAAATCACAACTCAGTCACATCTCCATCTCTCACTCTCTACGGTGAAATCCGTCCCCATCTCCAGCGAAATTCGTCCCCATCTCCGGCAAAATCCGTCTATCTCCATCTCTCAGAGCCACCCTCACAACCATTCACGACCACAAATGAAAAATCAACCACCGAGGGTTAGTTTTTTTAATTATTTTTATTTTGAAATTTTTGTATTATTATTAGATTTTTCATATTTAAATAGATGATAAATTTACTGGTAATTTTAATATATAGATTAACCATTTCACTTAGATTGCTTAGTAAATTCATTCGATTGCTGCCAATACTGCTAAACTGTTTAGTCTTTAACTCTGTGAAGTTAGTATTTGTCTTTGTTTTGTCTTTTGGTTGAAGTAATGCAATTCATTCAAGTTTCAATTTGCAGAAGATTTTTGAAACTTAAATTCACAACACGAAAATGAAATTCGCAACATGAAAATGGCAACGCGATTTTAGTTTCGCGTTGCGATTTTCATTTTCGCGTTGCGAATTTAAGTTTCAGAAACTACCCTTCTTCTGCAAATTGAAACTTGAATGAATTGCATTACTTCAACCAAAAAACTATGATAGAATAATGACTTGGGTGAATACCATGCTAGTTTGAAACATATTTGGCTTTGTTTTCACTGTTTAATATCATGTATGTTTATAATGTATAATTTGTAGTTTTTGGTATATCTAACTTGGTATGTTTATTATTTTTGTTAGAAATATTTTTCAGCTTCATTGACTCTAAGGAATAAATTAAGCCTAGCCACTACAATAGCGTCGACACTTACATATGTACAAAGAAAATTGTTTGAGGATACTTGCTTCGAGACATGGCTGAAAGTACAACATCCAGGTGGAGATGCTATGTTGACCCATTTGTTTCTTCAGACCATGACTAATGATCTACCCGAGAGGATACAACGTGGTGATGAAGAGATATGGTTTCATTTTCCACCGCATATACTTGTTTTGGGCGGGAGGAGTTTTGCTTAATCACTGGTCTACGTTTCGAACACGATGAAGTAGGTCGGTACACTAGTCATATCGCCCGCCCATCATGGTTATCTCGGGTTTTTCCTGAGCTGGCAAAGGCAAAGCCCAGTTTACACGTCGACGACTTGAAAAGATTACTTCTTAAAGATGATTTTAATCGGATGGATGACCTTGATGTTGTCCGAGTATGCCTTTTATTACTTTTGAATGCCGGCTTTTTAGGCAAAGAGGCCAGACAACCTATTTCTGAGGACCTAATATTATTGGTAGAGGACCTAAATGCATGGAACGTGTTTCCCTGGGGTTCATATCTATGGAAAGCTACCTGGAAAAAGTTGTCGTCTGCCTTTGAGGACCGACGTAGTTTGCGTGGCGATGGTTCAAAATACACTTTGGTAGGCTTTATTTGGGCCTTTAAGGTAAGAATTTCTATATAATGTTTCCAAAATTATAATTAATTATTTAACAATTACTAATGTTTGTGTATTATATTGTTTGTATATTTGGATATTTGAGGTTTTTCCCAGCATCCAGACATATGCAAGAAAAAATTCAAATGATATTCCTAGGGCTATTACCTGGAGGAGGATCCGGCTGCTGGATTGGGAAGATTTACTACCATATACGACGATGAATGATGTAAGTTAACACAAATACTACCATATATAAACAAGTCATTACTAGTAGACGTTTGACTTTGTTTGAGCTTTTATATTGTTAGGAGGCAAACTATCCATTACAGAGGCTGAGCTTTCCACTGATTGGTGGCAAGCTAGTAAGCGTTTTTTTGATGGGATGGATGATGAGCACCCCCCACTTCGAGAGCCATCACCTGATCGAGCTGATTATACACCTCCACACCGAGAGTCATCACCTATTTCATCACATCATCGAGCCTCTTCTCCACCATCACCTCATGATAGGCGACCGACAAATATGCCACGACATTTATCTCCCCGTTCTCTACCTCCACGGGATGAGTTAGGGGAGTTACGTGATGAGGTCAATGTTTTGCGTGATGAGGTCGGTACTTTACGTGAGGACAATGGTGCATGGCGTGATGAGGTACGGTCTTTACGTGGTGAGGTAGATGTTTTACGTGATGACAATGGTGCTTTACGTGGTGAGGTATCTACTTTACGTGATTAGGTAGCCGCTCTACGTGAGATTGTTTTATCATTGTAGAATGAGGTTCATACTCTACGCAATGAGGTAAATTTGTTTAATATTATACTAAAAATGCAAATAACATTTTTTCGGCATTATTTATTTATTTATTTATTTACTGATTTATGTATTAATTTATTTTTAGTGGCCCGATAAGGTAGATGTTTTACGTCGGGTTTTTCTTGCACGACGGGGTTCACGCATCAGACGTCGTGCACGTGCCATTACGTCCCTTTCACCCCAATAGTGCCAAGACTCTGTAAGAAGAAACCTGATTCACCTGTTATCGTTCAAGAGGCCTCTCCCACCGTTCAAGAGGCCCCTGTCATCGTTCAAGAGGTCCCTCCCACAGTTCAAGAGCTCGATTCACATGGCATACTATGTCGACATATTGATAAACCCCCTCACGTGCCCGATATGATGGATGAGAGTTGGCTTTTGTATGAGTTACCGGCCAGTATCATTCCTCAGCAGGAGAGAATAACACTACCGAACACAATTATGAATAATACCCTTTGGGCTAAGACCGCAGTTGATTTTTATCTACATGAGCGAAGCCAGGGGTGTTACGCTGACATATGAAAAATCGACGATAGTATGCATTTATTTCTTGATCGGTCTTGGTGGGGTGTTTTATTAGGGGTTGAAGAGAATGGATATTTCGAATGGGGGTAAGTCTTATATTATTCTTATATTGCATTTTGATTATTTTTTTAAAAATTTATTAAATTCACTAATATATGTATTTTTTTATCCACAACATATTGATGCATGGGTGTCACGTCTTCAGATTATAAGGAAATTGAAGAAAATAAAAAAGAAGCGATGGACTATTATGTCTTCGTCTTTTCACGTAGCTCACTTGAAGGATCAGAGAGACGTTTTATATACGTTGGGTAATGGAAAAGCTAAGCTTTATCCTGCGTGGTGGGAGGTCGATAAGGTTAGTATTTGTTTCTGAATATTTTAAAGGTGTTCATAAATTTTATTTGATGTGCACAATTGAATTATTATTTATGATTGCTGGTGTTTATCCCTATTATGGAACGTCGTCATTGGCTTCTCGTCGAGCTTCAGCTCCCATCCCTAAAGACGATAGTATATGACAGCATGTTGAATTGCATACCATTGTCTGATTTGAAAGATATTATTTGTAAGGGATGGAGCGCTCATATGGCTAAATACTTGGATGTGATTGATTATTGGACTAATCCTAGAAACAAGAAGCCAAAAAAGTTCCAAGTTACAATGATGAGAGATGAGACAGCGCCACAAAAAATGGTGGGAGCCATAGGGGATTGTGGTCCTCTTGTATGCATGTGCTTGGAACGTTTGACGACAGGAGGTACACAGTTTCTACCTCCCACAGATAGAGATAGAGGTGCAGTAGGGTTTTGGTTTCGTCATTTTATGGCTAGAGCGATATATTTGAGACGTTGCCTATCTACATCTGCGTGTTGAAAGTGTGCATAAACAACCATTTGTTATTGGTAAGTTTGAGCAAGTGTTGTTAACATATATATTCTTTGTTGGTTTGAAAATGTTTGGTTAAGTACCTAGAATTCAATAATTTGTTGTTTGTTGGTTTTATATGTGTAGAAAGTGTTGTTTGAGCAAATGTTTGGTTTATGCAGGTAAATCCTGAAGTGAGCTGCGTGAAATTTGCTGTCAGGGGCTAATTGTATCAACATGTTATTGATTTGTTTTTTTAGATGTGTAAATAAGAATTGTTTTTTGCTTGTTTAATTGATTTGTAAAAGTTGATTTGTTGTTTAAGAAAATTTCAATCTGCATTATGTTGAAGGCAAAAAAGACCTGTTGAAGGTATACTTTCGCATTGCGATTTTGACTTTCGCGTTGCGAATTTGACTTTCGCAACAATCGCAACAAAAAATCGCAACATGAATTTGACTTTCGCGTTGCGAATTCAAGGAAAACACATTCAAAAAGATAACATACAACAATCTGATAAGTGATAACAACTGAACAAATCATAGCAATGTTCAAACTCAAGTTACTAATGCATGTCTAACTGAAAATGTATGCGTTCACACATAA